TGCACCGATTATTTCGCCACGTTCAAAATCTGTAAGCTGGCGACGTTGGGTTATATTTTCTAAGGTTGACATATTTTCCGATAAAAAAAAACTCAGCTTTCGAACGAGCTAAATTACGTTACAATTGGACACTTGCTTCACCCTAAATTTATGTCGATCATTTCCTGATTGTAAACTTTTGTCCACTATGCTAAAATATGACATTATTATAGTCAACTTTCGGTGTGACTGAACGGATCGTTAAAAGTAAATTTAATGATTATCGTTATAGACATAGTAGTTATCGTTATACGTTATAGTATCGATATAATTATTCGTCAATAATTGGATACTTCGATGTACGTGGTGTGTATGACGAAAAGTGTATCTTGTTCAAGAAAACAGAATGACCAAACTTCTAAGATATAATTGACAGTAATAAGTACTCAACAACTGTTTGCAAGATTACTTGAGAACTTTATTCATTCATGCTGCGAAACATTCTGACAATATGTCAAAACTCATTGAATTTTTTTTGACTATTTCCATTTCCACGTCTTTTTATGCAATCTGCTATTATTCAAAGATTACGATAAAGGACAGTAGTCTTTTTAAAATATTTTCCATGAAAATTTACATTGTATAAACACAATATCAATGATTATGAAGAATCGCAAAATAAGGGAGCCTTTATTCCGAAAAAAAGTAGTTGGTACATTGTTGGTCGTGTAAATATTAAACTTTCTGATAATTACCAGAAAATAAATGTGATCTCATTTTTTTGGTCAATGGTAATAATATTGCCAATAGATGAATTATTCCACAGAAATTTATCGCTATGTACACGCTATTTCTAAAAATTCATATACCGATACATGAAGCTTACTCCCCTCCCTGTTTTGGATATTGATGCAAATTAAGATAGTTCAACGCGATCATCAAATTTGAACTGTATATTAAAGTACTTGCAACATTTCAGTTGAAAGAAATGAACAATACATTGATAAAAAATATGTCAACATAAAGGGAAGATAAATAATAATAAGCTTCAAACAATAAATATTCTTTTTGAAATAAATAAAAAAACCTATATGCTGCGAGTTATTCTGGCAAAAGGAGATTAGGAATTCAACGGATAAACTGAGAGCTTCAGTAAAATGAAATAATTAGATAAAAATGATAAAAGAAAATATAATGCGTACGCGAAATTATCTGTGAATTCAAAGAAATTGATTGAATCATTAAACCAATGATTTTAATGGATTGAAAGGGATAAGTGTACAAATATATAAACAGTATTTATTATAGAACCAAATTTACGCAATTAAGAAATCGATTGAATCGTTGATTAATGCTTCTAATAAAATAAATCGAAAGGATTTTGTAGAGCGTGCGAAATAGTATGGATTACTGTCACGGGTGGATCGTGATTAGGCGTAATCGACGATTTTACCTGCAACAATGGTTGGGGGCGCGATTAGACTGAGTGATGTTCGTTTGTTTCTAATTCCTGTGCCGATATCTACGGATATCGTTCAGTATGACGGTAGAGAGGGGAATTTGGATGGGTTGGTTTTTATGTAAGGTAGTTTCGGACTTGTTGCATAATGCACTCTATTATTTAAGAGAGAATTTAAGATAGAAAAAGAAATAGAAAACAGGAGCGATATAAAACAAAAATAGAATGTTTAAAGCGAAAATAAACCAACGAAATCGGGCTAGGCGGGTTTTACCAAAATTGGGAGATTAACGAAATTACTCTCAACCCGGTAACATTACAAAACGTCACAGAATCAAATTATAGCAAGAAATCGATCGAACCATTAAATCAATGATTCTAATAAATCAATGTACATACGAAATATATAAACGAGTATAGATTCTAAATCAGGTTCGAGTAATTTATAAGAAGTCGATTGTTCGAAGTATATAAACGAGCATGCGTAGATTGTATGAATAGAAATCACGTGGAAACATCAACGGTAGGCGTCCATAAGTACGCCTATAACATTATTGTCATCTATATTCACATTCGATGCAGATGACTGGTTATCGAAGATACATGTATTAGGAGTTCCGTTGACAAAGCTTTGTGGATTACTCATGATTCTTCTAAGGAAGCGATTATAGAGAGACGATGGGTGTTTATATAAATTTTTATTATTAGCTAATCATTTATCATCATGGTTTATTCAATGAATGAATCATTCATTGTCCAAACGCACGAGAGAGCAGAGAAGCTCATTCATTGTCCAAACGATAGTCACGCGAGATGTGAGAACAAGAGAATAAAGTTATATCAGATGGCACAAAAGATATCGATAGGGAAAAAGATGATTAATCTAAAAGATTGATGTCTATTGTTGTTAAAGAACGAGTTTTGCATATGACCCGTCCCTGATAGCTTTTTCACATGAAAAATGATGTTTTATAATTCACTCGCAATCTTCGTACAATGCAACTAATGTAAATAACAAACAAAACCACACATTAAGAGATCACGCGGCGTGATACCATTCGGTAAATCTACCAATTTGTAGTGCACATTTTTTTATAATAGGGAGTATTTTTTGCGCACATTATCTAAATTGTGAGTGTAAAAAAATTAAACCGAAGAATCATGCTGACATTGGTAATATAAAGATGGTCATTGGTCTTAAAAGACTGAGTCTGTTCTTTTGTGTGTATGACTGCAGACTTTTCAGTCCTCATGACTATAAGAAAAAGATTGTGATCATTGAATCAATATGTAAGATTATATTTGTGTAATTATATAAGATCGTGCGTGTGGAGTCTACACACATTACCCTTTTCCAAGAGTATACTTATTGAATGTTAATTTGAACTCTATATTGATATATGGTGCATAACATCTAAAGTCATCAAACGTTTATATTTTATAAAATGGATAAACTTCTTTACTAAGAAGTAAATACAAAATTTAATCCGTGAATATTCTCAGAAAAGGCCTTTTCTATAATATTCACAGATTAAATTTTGTATTTACTTCTTATAAAATATAAACGTTTGATGACTTTAGATGTTATGCACCATACCCCCTTACTAATTTCTAGTTCGATCATACAATACTTATTCGCTACTATAAACAATAATCTACAAAATTCCATATTTAGAACTCATTTATCCGGGGTTTGTTAACTGTTTTTGAAGATAATTTAAAATAGAAAACCAATTGATTGGTTCGAAGATCGGTGAAACACAAATATTATAATACTGCATACGTCAAAAATGGAGACCGCCTTCTGATAATTACATAATATATGTCATTCCCTAATTGGTGTTCTCTATATTATGTGTATATGTTGTGCCCCAAATCAGGGTAAGGGTTAGGGTTAGGGTTAGTGCTGAGGGATAGGCTATATTTGGTTTAGATTTTAATTTGGGATATCTCCCAATTGTCAATTTTGATTTGGGGCCCAACATATATATCGATATGTCTTAGTATATTTAATTATAACACTCCATGTTACAAATTCATTAATAATAAAAAGAATAGATATAATAAAAATAAATTTCATGAACCTAAAATTCTCGTTTATTCGGCCTCATTCTCAATATTTCCGGTACATTTCTTTCTTTGACATATGGCACGAAATGCATATTCGGTGGCAACCTGTCTTTATTTTTCTCAAACCAATCAGCAACAGGATGACCTAGTCGTTCATCGGGTTCCTGTTCTGTTAGGTAGAATTTCATCACGTCGTTAACTGTTCGCATCTTGTTGAGTTCAAAATTAGGAACATCCCTGCCCATTAATGTTGTACAGTCTTTAAGAATCTTTTGGTTTCCGATTTCATATTGTTCATGGTTACAAAAATGATAAATTAAAAATCATCCGTAAAAATGAAAACTAAAACATATACATACCTTAAATTTCAACGATGGCTCTTCATCAAATCGAAATTGTAGCCAATTGTTCGGATTTATTCCATCCTGACAATGTTTCACTATGATATTGAACATTATATCGTGGACTTCTTGCGGGGTTTTTGTTGGCACAGCTGGAAGCTTTTTCGGGATTTTATTCAATTTTTTGTTGCTGTATGTATGATTATTTAGGTATTAAATATGATGTTGTTATGTGGCATCCATGATTATAATTACAAACCTTTTTGCTTTCTTCTCATCCTCATCCATATCATTGACCTCATATTCATTAGCATCCTTCATAAAAACAGCAAAAGTTTTACGCTGTTGATTCTCTGAAACAGAAAACAAGTCATCACTTCCGTCGTCGTCGTCGTCTTCTTCTTCTAAGGCTTTTTTGGTTTTTTTGCGTGACGGTGATGGTGATGGTGATGGATGTAATAATGCTTTCTGTGTGGATGTTTTATATACATTTTTATTATTATTTATCTTTGGTTTTGGGTCTGGGTCATTCCGCGAAAAAATCTCTTTAAAGAATTTCGATAATTTGCCTTGGGAAATTATTGTTTGGGAAAACGAGGCAACGAAAATGTGGTGGTGTATTGGAACGACGGGTCGATTGTGTTGTTGTCGTTGTAAGGCTATGCTAAACCCGGTCAAAGAAAGTGGTGGAAACGTGTGTAAAAAACGTGGTGTTGTAATCTTCATTTCTTGCCACCTACCTGATGTGTCCAGATTTTTTTGTTTGAATCGCCACGTGATCGATATGCATGTCGAACTAATAACAAACGCTAATATATAAAGTTACCCAATTTTTTTCAGACATTAAAACAATGAACAACAACGCGAGAACTACATTTTCTAACAACAATAATGACTATAATAATGTTGGTAACCCGCAAAAAATAGGAAACCCTGTAAATCCGCACGAAGAACAACAAAACTCGTTGTTGACGCGCGTCGTGTCTCATGTTGTGAGTAATAATATCATATATATATATATCCTGAAGGCAATACGCGTATTAATATTTTTAAATTTAAAAAAAAGCAAAAACTGAATGATGTAATGGTAGAAGTCACTATGCGGCTACAAGTAATTTAATAATCATAATTCTAATGAACTCTTCGGTCATTATGTACGCTGACTTGATTTTAATTTTTTACAGGAAATCAACGAATACAATCGTGATATAGTCACTTTATCACAAGTATGGGGAAACTATATGCGAAATGTTGCGTTTAACTTAGAGAGTATTCAACGATTAGATGATCCAAAGTAATATAATAATATAATAGAAAAGTGAGATGCAAACGAATTTGTATGAATGCATATATAATAGGCCTGTATTTTTTTATAATTAAGACAATAAATAAATTTATAATGATGCACACGATGCATACACCAAAATAGATCAGCAAATAATATTCATAATAGTGTTATATGTAGAATCCATGAAAGAACCTGAAACGAGAAAATGACAAGTAAACAACGATCAAACTCTTTTTCCTCTACTACTATTTCCGATGCAAGTGAAGAAACGGTCACTGGCCAAAAGGTAGAGTAAAACGAAGACAAACAAAATGATCGTTGAAAATCTACTCGAGTACAATTTTGTAAACTATTTTCTAAATTTTTTGCTTTTAGGCGCTTGACAGTGGGGAGTTAGATGAACGATTTAAGGATATTTTTGGTGGTAGTGAGGAAAGTGATCTTTCGGACTTGGACTTGGAAAGTGTAGATTTAAGTAGTGACGAGGGTAAATTTTACCTCTTGCAAATCTTACGGACTATCGATCCTCTCACTCTCGTTTAATATTTAATTCAATTTTTTGAATCAACGACTATTTTTAGAGGATTCAAAACAAAAAGCTAAAAAAGCCAGAATTCAGCAGTCTCCGGTAAAGCAAAAATTGAAAAGACCGGATGACGACGAAAAAGATAAAGACTATATTGAGGAGGGAGAAATCAGAAAGACGGCAACTGCGACGGCGACGAAATCTAAGGGGAAAAAGAAGAGAGCTAGTCATATTGAGATTTCGGATAAATATGTTGTGGATTCGGATGAGGAAGAAAATGAGAAAGGAAAGGAGGCGGAAATTGAGGAGAGAAAATCAAAGTAATTATCTCTTTTTTCTTTTTTTGTTTCCCAGTAGTGAAATTTAGCATTTATATTCTAATTTTTTGATAGGTCTACACCAAGAAAGATTAAACGTAAAAAGTCAGAAGGAAAAGATGATGATGACGATGATTTTAAGTCAAAAGAACTGACTCCTCTTGAAGGTTTGTTGATTTATTTGAAAATTTCCAAAGAATTCTTGAATAAATCTATAAATATGTTAAAAACAATATATCACTTATAGCTATCAGAAAGCAAGTCGACAAACACTTTGATGAAATTTTAAAGAGCAATTCACCACGAAAGAAAAGACGAAAGAATGATATTGTACGTGTAGTTTTATCTATATTGCAGTTAATGTTTCTTAATATATTAATTTTCAGACTCTTAATAAGTCTTTATTCATCAACACAGGAACTTGATCAGTACAATGACGATCTAGCTGCTAGTTTATACATTAAAATGATCCAAGCCGCTGACAAAGATATCGAATATAACAAAATTAACAGGCCATCCTTTGCTAAATCAGATTACTTTCCAGAAGCTTATGCAATTCTCACAAAGTATTTTTTATTTTATTTTCTTAATGAATTTTTCTCTGATGAATTAACTGATAGTTATCGTAATAATAATTCAGGGCAAATATGACAGAAACATTACTAGAACATAATATTCTTGAAGCGATTCGTGCTTGGCTTGAACCTTTACCTGACGGTAATTTGCCTCCGATTGGTTTGCAAGAGCCATTGCTCGATTTCCTTGATAGAGTAAGTATTATTTTTTTTGTATACCAGTTTGCTTTTTTTAATTCCTAAATCTTACTCTCTATACAAATTAATTTGAAATTAAAATAATCAAAGCTGCCGGTAACTCTCGAACAATTACGTTCAAGTCAAATCGGATTCATTATCAGGTTCTACAACATTTGTCCTGGGATAGCCGAAAGGATTCAACGCAAGGCCGAAAAATTAGTGCAAAAATGGTCTCGATTAATCTTTAATCTCTCGGATGATTATCGAAACAGGCCTGTTGAAACTGTTGTATATGATCCTGAAGCAGCAAGGCATGTATATTAATTGATTTATACTTGTAGTAAATAATGATAATAATTGACAACTCATCAATGAATTAATAAAATAAATACAGGAATTACTCTGATGGCGAAAGTATACTCAGAAAAGTAAACGAAGAAATGCGTGCTGAGGCAGAAACATCATCTTCTACACGTGTGCGCGCTCGTATTCCGATACGAGAACCACGCGAATACCGATTTGTGCCCGTGGTCAAGAATCCTGTGATTGCGGAGTCGAAAAGGAAGCCGGTAATTATATAGATTTTAATTTATCCAATTTATTGATTTTGCAACTTAAATTTTTTACACTGGTTGATTTAAATTTTGAAAAAAATAGAAATATACTGGCGTCTATAAACGTCTCAATCGAACAATGACAGCACTTTCACGTAACAAGAGTTAATTGTTAAGCTTACACAATGATTTATCTTATGAAGACTTTAAGCTTTCCATTTGAAGAAAATTAAAATGATAATATTGTAATTGACGAGTATTAATTAGACAATAGGGATAGTAGGGTAGTTTGCTGATATTTAATAAATAGATAATTTATATCGTAATTTTTACGGATCATTTATCAAATTGCGTACACAATAAAGTAGAAAACCTCGCCATAAAAAACTCTCCTCGCAGAAAAGCGTATATTTAAAATATTGATATATTTTGTATCAGCAGGTAGTTGTCTATATTTATATCATTATATATGCAGCAAAATACAAAAATCGATTCTTTACGTATCTGTAATAAGGGCTTTTACCTGAATTTGCGTCACGAGTCAAGATATTAAACCATCGACGAATAAATCATCTTTAAATCGATAAAGAAAAATCAATGATCAATTCTTAAAATTCAAAAACTGCGATCGAATAATAAAATTAGAAGAATCAGATACGACGTATGAAGGTAGCTAGTCGAATTTACGTCATCTACACCACTACTAAGAGTGGGTATACAGCCAAATGCCTAAATCATCATTTTTCACGCTTATTATTATTTAAGAACATTTTAAGGTTTTAACGTACCATTATTTTTCTGTCATTTTCTTGCAAAGAGAGGTTGATATTAAGATTATCCATTTCATGAACATGAAACATAAAAAACAGTAAAACGATAAAAATTTTTTCTTGATTGTTTATCACTTACTGTGAAAATACCCCCGGTTATTGATTTTTCCAACCCTAAATTTTAATTCGTGCGATATTGTACAAATGTAAAAAAACACAAATTTAAACTCATTTTTTTATTATTGCTACGAAATATATTAAAGCTTAATATTTTAGCATTTTTAACTTTCAAATATTATTTTAGTTATTATTTTATTAATCATATTTTATTGGACAATTCATATCACATTCTTATTGAACATAACACTGATATCAACACAACTTTATTAGAATTAACCAAACAAATTAAAAATTTAAATAACAATAATAATAATTGCAACAATTTTCAATGCAATAATAATAATAATAGAAACAACTTCAATCACAATAATATTTCATGCTATAACTGTAAAAAAAATGGACATCTTGCTAAAGACTGTTACAGTAATCACAATAATAATAATAATGAAAGGAACAATTACAATAATAATATAAATAACAATAATAATAATAACAATAAAAGAAATAATTATAATAGAAATAATAATAGTAATAACAATAACAATTATAATTACAATAATCGACAACCTAGTAACTTTGAAAGAATGAAAGACATTAACAATCAACATGACATTCTCTTACAACAAATAATTAACAATCTTTCAAGAACAATAACCAATGTTTAAACTAGAAAATGCATCTTTAGAAGATGAGAGTGCATCCAAAACTATAAAACCTTCAGCCAAACAAAAATTAGAACAATTATTACTAAATAATCAACAAAAAAATGAAAATAATAATAATGAAGATAATCATAATCATCATAATAATAATAATAATAATACACCAATTGACGCTGTTTATTATATTGGAGTTGTTGAAAACAAATCAACCAATATAATTATTGATAGTGAATCAGTTAGTAATATTATATCAAAGAAATTCTTAAAAAAAATCAATCAAAAATATTACTAAAACTCTCAAATATTCAATTAATTAAAATTAGTGAAAAATCAAAAGTATCACTTGGAGAAATTAAAGATCTATCAGTAATAATGCAACAACAAGAATTTACTATTAATGCTTTAGTTCTTGAACATGTCAAATATGATATTCTTCTTGGAAATAACTGGTCTTATCAATATGAAGCTATTCTAGATTGGTTTAGCAAAATATTATCATTTATAAACAATAATAATAGACATAATATTATTATTACTTGTATTAGTGATCGCATATCAATAATTCAAAAAGAAGAAACTACAGTATATGATGATTTTGATCTTGATAACTATAATATTCAAGATGATGATGATGAATTTGAAAAAGAATATGAATATTGATTAATAGAAGATCAACTGTTATTATGTATAGAAGAGAATCTCAATGGAAAATCAACACTAAATATTGGAATTAGAGAATATTTCACACAAATCAATAATGAAAAATATGACCAAATTGACATCAATAGAATCAAAAAAGAATGCTTAAAGATTTTTACAAATATTCACATCTCTTCAAAAATAGTAAAAATTATAAACAATACATTGTTGTATAATGACCTTTCGTCATAATATTTTATTAGATTATAAATATCTCATATATTATTGGATAAAGATTATA